CTCCGGCCCTACGAGGTCGTAATTTATAAAGTTTATAAGGACTCCGGTCCTTCGGGCTCGTGATTTAAAAAGACCCCGGCCCCATACGGGCTCGTAATTAAAAAAACCCCCGCCCTACAGACTTGTGATTAAAATAACTCTCACCCTACGAGTTTATATCAAACCAAGTAGGCTTTGGAAACATGTATGTATTACAATGTCAGTATTACAGGGCGCCAAATTCAAATTTTGGAATTTCCCAAAGCCTACTTTGTCGTTTGTCAAACAGTGTTGCTAACTACCCAGGATGATACACACATACTGCCTACGTCACAACTGGTGATTTGGCATGGTTTGACAAAAACCCTTGCCCTATAAATTCGTGATTTAAAAAGACCCCGGCCCTTTGGGCTCGTAAGAAGACCCCAGCCCTTCGGGCTCGTAATTAAAAAAATCTTCGGCGCCAAATTCAAATTTTGAAATTTCCCAAAGCCTACTTTTTCGTTTGTCTAACAGTGTTGCCAACTACCAAGGATGATACACACATACAAAGATTGCAAGAATCGTAGACTCTACAGGTTTGTTCAATCCCATAAGACATACGTTCATAAAAATATCGAACATGGAGGAATACGAGTGACGTCACGGAGTGCACGACAGTGCAATTTCTTTGCATTTTCAAACGTGAAACATTGTTATTTTGAGGTTGAAAACTGTGTTTTTTAAATTTAGCAGACTATAAAAGTTTGTGTGCTTGAGTGGTTAGCTAACTGCGAAAACGAGTTCGTTTGTTGTCAGTTGTCAGCACAAACTCAACTAACATCTGTATCAACGGCCATCTTGAAAGTCAGAAATACAAGTGACGTCACAGCACTTGTGAACAAATTTAGTCGATTGATGCCCGATTGCACCATCTCTCTTAACTGAGGCTTAACGATAACTATCCCTTAAATTGACAGTTTTGCATGGGAAAATGTCACTTTAAGGAATAGTTATCTCTAAGCCTCGGTTAAGAGAGACGGTGCAATCGGGCATGAGTTTACGATTCTTGGTTGTAGGCCATGGAAATTCTGTCAAAAATGTCAAAAAACTGAAACTGTCAACTATTAAAACTTTTATTTGTTTCAGGCAAAAATGGAACCCGCCAAAACCCACTTACAACCTCCAAAAGAAAACTCCAAAACAAAATGAAATTACGCCAAATATCAGACGCCATCTATGCGTAATCAATCGAAATTCCCAGTCCGGTGACGATGGGAGGCGCCCCCTAGCGACGCGATGACGGACTGGGAGGGCATGTGGTTGCGGGCGCTCGCCCGCGCGCCATCTAGCAGATCGTTGCAAGACCTCCAAGTAATTTACTACGGACTGAGCGGGTTGGAGGCGCTGCAATCGTCGCGCGATTCGAGTTTACGCGCCCTTTGCAAAATCGTCCGGTTCGAAAAGCATTTGGCCAATGACGTTTTATATTAGTATGTATTATCATAATTATTGATTTATTTATTAATTAATTATTGTTTTTTTAGTACTGGTGAATTATCAAAATGCTGGTACATTTTGTTGTCCGGATCGGTTTTCATTGATGGGTCAATGTTTCTGCCCCGATCAAGGTAAGTGGCGTTAGGAGGATGAGTCATTTTTTTTTTTGGAGCAGAATTTCTTATTTTGGAATTTTGTGCCCACTCGTTTATTGTATTATTGAAAAAGAAGGTTGCACATGATAGGTTTGAAGGCGTCAGCGTGGGATAATATTTATATGGGTTGCGCTTTTAAATCTACAAGGATGATACACCACTACTACAGGTTAACAACCTCATAAGGCTTGTGTGTAACAATTCCCCTCATGCCAAATCACCAGTTGTGACGTAGCAGCATGTTATTGTTCGCCTTGACGTAAACTGTTTAAACAGCTGACGACTCAGTTATGACATCGGAAATAGTGACACACCAATATAGCAAACGAGGCCGATAAGCAATCCTGTAAAATAGGTGTGTATCATCTCCGAGTGTTCTAGACCGTTCCAAATTATTTTAAAAAGGTTATGAAACGTCCAAAAATGCTTGTGACAGTTGTAACTTGAAATTGAACTTTGGAGTATCGCTTTAAAATGCAAACATGTTCTGGAATGTTTAAGAATTGTAAATTAACAGGATTGCTCATCCTCATCACGTATGTGATGTCACTATCAACAGTTAATATTGGTGACGTCACCAGTAGACCTCGGTGGAATGCTTGCGATTCAGGCTGTGTTTCCTATAGTGTTCTTGCTCTAGGATGAAAGCCTTACGTTGACGTCATTTTTTTCTTTCCAGGCGATTCAAAATCGATATTGATATGGTCGATCTAATCTCGATAACTCCTCCTATTTCTCAAAATCGACTCCATGTAAATTCGATGCAAAATCGACTTTAGAAGATTTTCTCATTCAGAAATGCACTTTTCATCGATCTCCGAGCAGTTGAAAATCGACGTCAATTCAAGAGCCGAGAATAAATAAAACATGTTGCTTATCCTTATGGAGTACGTACGCCAACTCTCGCGTTAATAGGATCTACGAGTGCTATCAGCGATCAGCAGCTAATAGTGGTGACGTCACCCGCAGACCTCGATGGAATGTTTGCGATTCAGTTTGTGCTTCCTATATTGCTCTTGCTCCAGTAGGATAAAAGCGCTACGATGACGTCATTTTTCATTCAAAATCGATATGGATGGTCGATCTAAAGCTTTTCTCATTTAAAAATGCACTGTTCACTGTTCATCGATCCCTAAGCACTTGAAAACAGGGACCCGGACCGAAATAAAATATCGGTTCCGGTTCACAGCATAATGATTCATATCGGTTTCGTTACGGTTCCGGTTCTAAAAAGAAATATTTCGATTTGGTCCGGCCAATAATTTCGGTTTTTCACAAATATATAACGGAAAAACTTATATTTCTGTAATTTGTGGACGCCAAAGTAAGAGTGATGACGTAGGCAGCGTGTCGTTTCTCGCCTTGACGTAGGGTGTTTGCAAGAACAAGTGTTTGCACCACAGGTTGTTATGATTGCGCTGACGTTTAGCAATCTAGACCACATGATTCAATATGGCCGTTCAGGTGAATTATTGTGATGTCGTTCATAAGGAAAGTATTAATTTGTGTTGCCCTTGTTGTAGATGCCGAACACGACAATGTCAATAATGTCAAACCCAAACGTCCAGAATGTAACAGAATAAGTACTTTTTCATTGATTTTTATCAGTTATCTAAACTTGAACCTAAATGTAAACAACACGATGTTTGACCAGAACGGCCATATTGAATTTTATTTGACAGGTCAATGGATTACCTAATGAACATTCTGGAACAACCCTTGTCCCAGATCTCGTTTGCATCTTCCTTTTTGCCTATTGTGTAAATCAAAATTAAATATATTTTTCATCATGTATGTATGTTCTTAATATTCTTATAATGAAATATTCATGGTAAATTTTGGCAAATGGCTTATTTATTAATAAAATTGTCCTGGTGAATGTTAACAAACGCTTCATGAAATCAAATTTTCACGGTGTATGTTGACAAATGCCTCATTTGTGATAAAATATCCATGGTGAATGTTGGCAGATGGCTCATTTATCAATAAAATTGTTCTGGTGAATGTTAACAAACGCCTCATGAAATCAAATTTTCACGGTGTATCGAGCCTCAAATGCCTCATTTATTAATAAAATATTCACGGTGAATGTTGGCAAATGACTCATTTATCAATAAAATTTTCCTGGTAAATGTTAACAAACGCCTCGTGGCTGTTTCTAACTTAAATCAATTGAATCGCAACTCGGGGCCTCAAAATAATAAAAATCAACTAAAAATGGCCGCTTATTAGTAAATTCAATTGAAATCCTAATTAATTATACTATGTCTGTTAACAAACGCCTCATGAAATCAAATTTTTACGGTGTATGTTGACAAATGCCTCATTTAACCACGACCGCTGACGCAACCCGCTAACGACACCGTTGATGACGTCGACAACGGTGCAACACTACATGAACATTTCACAAATCGATGCCGATTAGCAATCCTATTCTGTAGTAGTGTGTAATATCCTTGGTGTGCAGAGATGCGCGCTTTCCACACTCTGTTTTGAGTTTTAAATTTATTACTATATAAAATCTTGAAACCGAAAAATACCGGTAAGAACCGATTCATTTATATCAGTTCCGGTTCACAAAAAAAAACCGGTTCCGTTGCGGGTCCCTGCTTGAAAATTGACGTCAATTCAAGAGCCGGGAATAAACAAAAAATTATATTCCTAATTTGTCTGATGATGACGTAGGAAATGTAATGGCGTTTCCGATTGGTAGATTCAGTGCGCACTGAGTATATTTGCATCCTTTTAATCGACCTGTGGAAGAAAAAGACAGAAATAGAAAAAATTGCACTAGTTCCGCACTAGATCTACCAATCGGAAACGCCATAAGAATCATCACCATTAATTTTCGAACGCCCCCACAATCGAAACGTTACAATAACAATGTAGCCAAACTTTATAAGTAGTATTGTCAAACGATCAAATTAACCAATATTTCGTCTGTTGTAACTTTTTTCAAATGTGAAATATTTAAACTTCATCTTTAGACTATAGTACGCGATTCCCCCTTTATGTTGTCTGGTAATGAGCTAATGGCTAACGTAATGACGTCATCTGCGGCGGCGAGCAAAATTTGACAGACGTTACGTGATTTGACTTTTAATAAAAGATAAGTCATCACGAGACGTTCGACAAAACTTGCTCTTTTTGCTCGCAGATGCAATTGCCAGCCATTTTTGAGGTTGAAGCGCTTCAGATGACGTCATACCTATTTCTTTCAAACAACCTTCGGGCGAGTTCGAATAAAGTTCAAAGTAGAAAACTTCAATTTATACAAAAAACAAGAAGTGGCAACGTTGTAATTCTCACGAATCGATTCGCCTACTCTAAGTTTCAAACATTCTCCGCATATGGCGCCACCGTCGCATTACACATTCACACACAAAACAAGAATCCGCTCGGTGGCGACGACGGTCTGTTGCATATTTATTTATCCTTTTACGACTTCATAATACTATAGTGCATTTTTGTTTACGTTTTTATCCCGTGATAACGTCACAAAGGTTTCGGTTAAGGGTTGACCGTCTGGTTAATTTAACGGTTAACGGTATAGGTGTTTTTTTTTTAAAGGATTTTAACGAGAACTTTCCCTTCTTTTACCTGGTTGTTGGGTGCTCGTGATGGTCGGTGTTCCTCCTTTGCCCTGCCTACATTTCGTTGAATAATAATAATTCGTGGGATTTTTTTTCGTGATTTCACTAGTTTGTTAAAGGATATTTTTATTTTAAAATATGGGTAAGTTTTCAATTGTTTGTTGTTACTCCAATTGCTCTGTGTAGAACTAATCACCCTGTATAAATTTGTGAGGTGTGAACACTGAATTGTGGGCGGATTCGGATTACAAAAGTAACCTCAAAAAGTGTATTTTGATTTGCATCAACCCTACCCTGGGGCACTAAAAAACTGCACTATTTACGTAAATTTGGATCAATTATTTAGAACCAGAGCAATTAGTGCTAAATAATTAAAAATATGGAAATAACTTGAGGTTTTCCTTTCTCTGGGCCCAACCTAAACAGCACATTCCCATCTAATTCTTGTGGTTATTTGTATAAATTCCTCCCAAGGTTTACAGCTTTTGTAGATTTTTCTTCAGTAAATAAACCATTTATAAGCTAAAGTGGTTCTGAATATTTTAACCTGATCCTAATTGGTTCAGGAGTGTTCCAAATTTGGTGTTTTTGATGTTCTCTGAACTGGTTCTAAAGTGTTCTTGGAATATCAAAATTAGTTCCGAATTGTTTTTAAAGTGTTTTTAATTATTGTTTCTATGATGTCAGAATCGGTTCTGAGGTATTTTAAATGTGTTTTCAATTATTTTTGGAGTGTTCTAAAGTGTTCTTAAGATATCAAAATTGGTTCCGGAGTGTTCCGAAATTGTCTGGATTGGCTCTACATGTCTGAACTGATTCTGAAGTGTTCCAAAAGGTCTCTAATCGGTTCTGCAAGGTTGATGAAATCTTTAAATTATTATTACAGAAAATAAAACGCTCATTGTATCTGGGTGCTCTAAATTGTTTTTGAATTTTCTGAATTGGTTCTGAAGCGTTACAAAATGACTCGATCAATGTGTTCTATTGGTTCTCGGAGCTCTAGAACGCCTTGACAAGTTTTTGAGAGAGTTCCAAAGTGTTCTAAACCATTCTAGAATGGTTCTGAGTGTTCCAAATTACTTGTGAAGTGTTATGAAGCATTCTAAAATCCTCTTGTGATAATCCTAACTTGACTTTGAATGTCTCCTTGAAAAATTTCTTGAAATTCAAAAGTGTTCTGGAATGTCATGGAATTTTTTTGGAAATTAAAATTTATTCCAGAGTGTACTGGAACACTTTATGAAACAAAGTGTTCTAAAGTCTTGGAACATCAGAGCATGTTTTCAATTACTTTTTTAATCTTAGAATCGGTTCTGAGGTCTTCAATGGGTTTTTGAAGTGTTCAAAATCAGTTTAAAAGGGTGCTTGAAAAGCATGCCAAAATCGAATTGTTTTAAATTGATTTTGGAGTGTTCTTGGATTACCAAAATTGGTTCTGGACTGTTCTGAATCGTGTTTTTGGGATATCAAAATTTGATTCTGGAGTATTCTGAATTGTCTGGATTGAGTCTCACATGACTGAACTGATTCTGAAGTGTTCTAGTGTCGCTAATCAGTTAATTATTGAAAGTGTTCAGAAAATAGATATTCAATGTATCTGGAAGTAGTCATTTCTGTAGGCTGACCGACAGTCCCAACTACTTTGAATCTTTTAATTCTGTTCCATTTCCACTAACTTGATTTAAATTACTCTAAAGAACAATTCATAACAAGATTCAGAACTCTTTAGCACACTTTAGAACCGGTTCACAGAACATCAAAAATAAATTGAAAACACTCCGTTAAAACCACTCTAGAACATTTCAGAATCCTTAAAACCATTCGGATCAGATTGATTGAGCCATTTTGTAACGTGCCAAAACCAATTCAGACTTTTCAAAAACAATTTAGAGCACTCCCAGATCCAATGAACGTGTATATTCTGAACAATATTAAAAAAAATTCATGAACCTTTTAGAACTGATTAGAGATCTTTTAGAACAAGTCAGAATCAGTTCAGACATGTGAGAATCAATCCAGGCAATTTAGAGCACTCAGAACCAATTTTAATATTGTAAGAACACTTTGGAACAGGATCAAAGCAAATTGAAACAATCTAGAATACTCTGGAATTAATTAAGACATTTCTAGCATATTTTAGATTATGTTCCAGGAAGGTTTCAAAATATTTTAGAAATTTGAGAAACTCTTCAGTAGGTACTTAACTTTTCAAATTCGAGCTAGAATTCCCAGGTATTCTTCCGATCTAAATATAGGTTAGTTTTGCGACCATCAAAACAGTCAGGGCCAATCAAATCTCTGTAAAACCGGATGATAATTGTTTTGAACATACCTCAAGTGACTGTGATCAGTTAGTTCTGATCGATAAAATACGACTCACAAGCATTTTAGAACGCTTTATAATAATTTTCATATAATTTCGAACAATTTCAGAACGGTCTAGAACACTTTGATAGAATTTTCGGAAACACTTTGAAACTTTTTCAAAATTATTTTAGAACCTTGCAATATGACTTAGAACGCTCCACTCTCGAACAATTTTTTTTTATTTCACCAACTCAGAAATCAGGAGCTTGTTAAGGCGCTCTAGAACTCTAAGAACATAATCTAAGCTAAGAACCTATTGAAAACTCTAGCAAGCCTGTATTAATTCTATTTGAAATCCTTCTATTGTTTGAGTTACTCTAAGATTTCCAATTACTTTAATTCTGCTTCATCTGCACTAGCTCTGTTCTGTTTGCACTGCTCTGATTGTTACTGTTCGAACTACTCTAATATGCTACTAAACAATGAATTTATTCAATATAACAATAGGCTGATTTGAAAATTAATTTTGGGTTTTAAGTAATTGTACTCTGACTATTCAAAGTGCACTGACTCTTTTTGATCAAACTACTTTGACTGTTCTAATTCTGTTCCATTTGCACTAACTCGATTTAAATTACTCTAAATATCCTTTTATTGATTGAGTTACTCTAAGAGTTCCAATTGCTTTAATTTTTGTTTCATTCGCACTAACCTTGTTCTGTTTGCACTGCTCTAATTGTTACTGTTCGAACTACTCTATTATGCTACTAAAACATGAATTTACTCACTATAATAGTAGGCTGACTTGAAAAATAATTTTGGGTTTTCAGTAATTTTACTCTGACTGTTTCAAGTACACCGACTCTTTTTGATTCCAGACCACCTTAGAATAAATTATAATTTTCATAAACATTCAATTTACACATTCCAGTTCCAGAACATTTTTGAATTTCAAGAAATTCTTCAAGGAAATACTCCAATATCCAAAATCGAGTTAGAATTATTATCACAAGCATTTTAGAACACTTCAATACAATTAATTTGGAACGCTCAGAACCATTCCAGCACAATCTAAGAACACTTTGGACTTTCAAAACGACTCTAGAACATTTTGGAACTTTCAAAATTATTTCAGAACCTTCTAGAATCCTTAAAAAATACTGTTGTTTTGAACCAACTCAGAAGCTTGTTGAGCGTTCTAGAACTCTAAGAACAAATTGAAAACTCTCACCAGCGTTTTAGAAAGCTCCAGAAGTGATTCAGGTACATTGAAAACTACTAAATTGTTCAGAACAGTTTGATTGACTCATTTTGAAATGTTCCAGAACCAATTCAGAAATGACTACTCCCAAATCCATTGAACAATAATAATTTAGAGAATTCATGAATCTTGCTTGAACTGAATAGCGACACTAGAACACTTCAAAATCAGACAATTCAGAATACTCCAGAGCCAATTTTTGATATTCCAAGAGCACTTTTAAATTTGAATGTTTGCATGCATCTCAACATTGTTCTATACCAATTTAGAACACTTTAGAATCAGTCATGTGAGAGACGATCCAGATTACAAGAACACTTTAGAACGAGATTCAGAACATATTTCGCTTCATAAGGTTTTAAAACCCTCTATAAAATTCAGAACCGTTTGTAGAGTGTTCCAGATCACTTTAGAATAAATTTTAATTTCATAAAACATTCTATCTAGACTAGACGTGCCTAGAACATTTTTGAATTTTAAGAAACTTTTCAGGAAGATACTCTAATCGCCAAATTCAAGAAGTATTTTAGAACATCATCACATTTTCCAAGTGATTTGGAACACTCAGAACCGTTCTAGAACGGTCTAGAACACTTTTGAACTTACAAAACCACTTTAAAACGTTCCTGAATAAATAAATACCTACTGTGCTCTAGAACTGTAAGAACCATTTGAAAACTATCGCAAGCATTTTAGAAAGCTCCAGAACTGATTCAGAGATGCATTGAAACTTCAAAATTCTTCAGAACTGATCGATTCAGTCATTTTCAAGGATCCAGAACCAATTCAGAAATTTCAAGAACATTTAAGAGCACTTTCAAATCCAATGAATAATCGTTTTACTTTCTGAACATCTTCAATAATAATTTAGAAATTTCATGAACTGAACCCCATAGAACTATTAGAGACCTTTCAAAACCTTTTACAAACAGGTCAGTCGTCTGAGAACTGACCCACACAATTCCGAACACTCTGGAACTAATTTTGATATTCCAAGAAGAACACAATATAAATCTTTTGCATTGAACACCTGAGAATCGGTTCTGACATCATAGAAATAACTAAGAACACTTTAGAACCAGTTAAAGTGCCGAAAAAGAACATCAAAGCAGATTTCAATTACGTAGAACACTCTGGAATCAATTTCGACATTTCTAGCATATTATTTTAGATCATGTGCACTAACTCTGTTCTGTTTGCACTGCTCTGATTGTAATGTTCAAACTACTCCATTATGCTACTAATTAATGAATTTATTTACTATAACAATGGGCTGATTTGGACATTAATTTTGGGTTTTAAAAAATTTTACTCTGACTGCTCCAAGTGCACTGACTCGTTTTGATCTGTTCAACTGTCCGAACTACTTTGACTGAGTTAATTCTCACTCAATTTAAATTACTCTAAGTATGTCATTTGCATTAATTCTATTTGAATTCTTTCTATCGTTTGAGTTACTCTAAGTGTTCCAATTGCTTTAATTTCTGTTTCAATTGCACTAGTTCTGTTCTGTTTGTACTACTCTGATTGTTACTGTTCGAACTACTCTAATATGCTACTAAACAATGAATTTA